TTTACCGAAAACTGCTAGTTTTCTCTTTATGTAAGCCCAAATATACTCTTTTGGGTTTAAATCAGGACTTTGTGGTGGCTATTCTAACGAATTTACTTTCATTTCATCAAGATAATTTACAACAATACTGGATGTGTGTTTAGGATCATTATCCTACATAAAAATAAAACCATCTATCTGATGTTTTCTTGCAAATTTAAACAAATGTCTTGCTAAAATTGTTTTGTATTCTCCACCAGTCATTTTGTCTTCAATGAAAACTAAATCTGAAACACCATAGTATGAGATTGCACCCCATACCATAACACTTCCTCCACCATGTTTTACTGTTGGTAAAATGATTGAAGTTTCATGCTTCTTTCTAGGTAGATATCGAATATATCTTACACCATCACTATTTATTAAGTTGAACTTCGATTCATCTTAGAAAATTATTCGTTTTAGCTCATCATCAGTGATACCTAAAAATTTTTTAGATAATCAAAATCTTTTTTCAATATTTACACCCCTTAATAACGGCTTCTTCAATGGATGATTTGTAATAAAATTATTATTTTAAAAAAATCTAGACAGGATTGATTGACTGACATTTAATTTAAACTTATCTAATAATTTTTTGTAAGAATGATAATGTAACAAAATGATCTTTGGCATGTTCTTTGACTAAAAACATTTTATGATTTGGTTGAAGTAGCTTTTTTCTACCAGATCCCTTTTTTATCTCATAAAAACTACCATCATTTAACTTTAAAATATACCTCTGGACTGTATTTCGAGATATATTTCTTTTTTTAGAAATTTGTGTCTGATTTAAACCAGACTTAATATATTCTTCAATTAATACTTTCCGCCTTTCTGATAAATGTTTTGTCATATGAAAATTTATTAAATTTTATTTTTCAAACTTATTTTTAGAGGGAATTTTTTACTGCCTTTTTATTTTGAAAGCCATTGTATATTTTCTTCAAATAATTTAAAAAATGATTCTCTAAATAATAGTGTTTATACCATAAATATTTTATTATAATAAAAATCTAGTTTTAGTTTTTTTATAAATAAAAAAATAAGTAAAGTATTTTAAATGTTTTTAATTCTCTAATAAAAATAAGGGTTTTTGTTATAAAAATTTAAAATTTAAGCAATTTGAACAAAAATTAAAATTGAAATAAAATACCAAATCTTTTTTAACTTTAAAAAACTTTTAAACTTAAAATTTTAAAGAATTATATCGTGTTAACACGATTAGGGGTTTTAGTTAGCTTAAATTTTTTGTAGTAAATTTAATTCACACTATCTTTTTTAAAAGATTTTGTTTATAAATTCTAAAAAGAATGACTTAAAATAA